CAGAATGAAGAGAAAGGCAGCACGAGGGGAGAGAGAAAGAAATGCAAAAATATCTCTGTCTATCCAGTTTGGTATTAAGATTAGACAGAATGGAAATATGGAAATTTTTTATAATCGATGTCTTCAGTTTTTGTTGAATTCTGTTTTGTTTTTATTGAAAAGTAATTTAAGGTAAAAGTGCATTAAAGGTGCATGAACTAACACAAAGCATGATAAATCTACAATGTGTAAACTCTTGGCTAATGTACATTCAAAGGACAGGGCTTGAATAAATGTATGTTCCACCGCTGCTGGCCTGATGGATGGGTGCAGGAGGCCCGTCCCCTTGTCCTCTATGGATCAGGGTCATTGTCAACAGGGATATAGATGGACGATAGTGTGTACGGATGAATGAAGAGGATGAGTGATGGCAGGAAGCTGGACAGACACACTCTCTTGTCATAACAGGCTGCGTATGAGAGCAAAGAGAAACTGTAGATGACTGAGTTAGCAGTCGTCCATCCGCCGCCACCCTCCCACATGTCCCGTCTGTGTGTCCGTCACATGGTGGCCCCCATTTGACTGTTAAATCACCAACTCAGCACAACAACACAGGGGAACAGGGAGAATGGTGACCATGCAAATCAGCATCTGAAGTTCCATAGAGGCCGAAAGTCAAGCAGAGTCCAGTCGGGAGGCACTGAAAAGACTCCAGAGAGAGAGCGGAGAGTGTGTGGTGTGCCTGATTTACCCCTGTGTGTGTGTGTGGAGGGTGAGGTGGAGTAACACATCTTAGGGAGGGCACTGAGGTGAAAATGGGAGATGGGAGCAGCCATGCGCAAACTGTCGGATAAAGTCGGACAGCACGTGAACAAGAGGTCGACAGGTAGGGTCACAGACAGAGTGCGCGTAGATGTTTTTTGCAGTCTTGTCGGAGTGTATGATGTGTGTTTGTTGACAGGAAGTGTGTAGATTTCAGCACATAGCGGTGCTGCTGGTCGGTCCTGAAGGCTCAGTGGGCTTTTGTGAGAACAGGGGAGATGCTGGGTTTGTAGTTTGAGTCTCCAGTACGGGGTGGGGGTGGGGAATTTGCATGTCGTCGGTTTCTTTGTGCAAATGCATTTAAGAGATCAAGCTTTTTTCCTTCAGCAGTCACCCTGAACCACATATCATGGTGTGGTTAATATGAAGGAATAGTAAACAATAACTGGTGGATTACTGCCCAGTGAAGTGAGAGACTGATTATACTAGAACTGGAGCTGCGGGTTAGAGTAGATAAATAAGTATTACACTTTGAGGCGAGTCCTGCAACTGTCTACATCAGGGTTGTGCAACTATGTTCAGCCCAGGCACAACAAGTTTATAACATTATTTTTATTGGTTTTCAGGAATCACTAGACAAAATCTGTGTTTACATTCAGGTCTGTAATTAATTTCTGAGCTAAAAACAGCAGTTGTTCAGTGGTGTGGCAGAAACAGGCATCATATAGGTCCCTGCAGGCTGAAAATGCAACCGGACCATAGGTTGTTTTTTTTTTTTAATATACTCTTATGGCCAAAAACTGATACTTCTGTCAGATTATGCACCACCCCTCCCAGAAAATTGTTGCAATTGCAAAGTCTTTGTTTATTCTCATGTTTTTCCGGGTTGCAAGCGAGAGCAGACGTCTGTATTGCTCCTCTTGTCTGTTCTACGATTTTTCACATCTTCTACATTTTCAAGTCTTTGAACAAATTCTACAACTATTAAAATGATTCCAAAAGAGCTAATAAACCAGAAGCGAACGAGGATGTTGAGGCAGAAGTAGCTGAGAATCAGCAGAAGCTGATGTACACCGCACTAATGTGCCAACAGCAAGAAAGCTTCCAAGGCTTTGTAAAACTATTTATGGAGACAAACAACAAGAGACTCGATGACATGACCAAAGAAATACAGGAGATATAAACGAGTTTGCAGTTTACCCAGCGAGATGTGGATGCGATTAAAGTGGCCGTGGGGGTGCTGGATATAATTGCCGAAGACACTAGCCGGGACGTCTACAAAACCCGTGAGAGTCTAATAACTACTACGTATAAAATGGAGCAATTGGAAGCACAGTCCAAGCAAAAAAACCTGATCTTCGAGGGAATCAAGGAGTCAGCTGGAGAAAGCTGGATGGAAGCGGAGTGTAAGGTGAAGGAGATTTTACAGGACAAACTGCAAATTAATCAAGATATAGAGATGGAACGGGTTTACAGAGTCGGGAAACTTTCTGATCG